TCAGTTCCACTTCGGAACCAAATGATTACATCTCTAGGAGCTGATTCAGGGGCTTTCTGGGGTTTTGATACCCTGAAGATATCTTTGAGATTTATATTTCTGGCCTGTTTAGGCTCTAGTAGTTGTGCCATTCGTTTCTGTGGGAGATTTGGGAGCTCTGCTACGAGGATATCCTCCGGAATTCCCCTGACTTTCAAGTTGTTGCGTGTTGCGAGTTTTCCAGCGTCTTCCAGCGTTGTTCAGGCCGCTTGTAATTTTTTAGGCATTTGGATTTCAAGCTGGAGCTCAGCAATAGTTTGGGTGTGCTGCCCTGAGGTGGCTTCCACTGTTCCTTTGCCGCTTACTTGGCCTGTGATGTTGATGCGGAGCAAAGCAACATCTGCCTGGATTGACCTTTGGAGAGCACCCAGCATGTTCTGGAGCATTTCTGCCGTCACAGGTCTTGAGTCCCCGGTCTTAGGAATGGCTTGTGGTTCTCGTATCAACATCTGCCTCCCTCTTGCTCTTGGGACAACTCATCCGAGTTGTCCAAGAAATATTCCAAGTCGGCGGCCATCTGGGCCTGCATGTGCCATGTGCTTGGCGGAAAAGCTCCCCTATATTCATACCCAGCTTAGGTCTGTCAGGTTTTAGTTTTTTTGTTTTTCTGCCCATATTTGTTAGGAGCGGTGGGGCTGCAGTTTGGAGGCTTGTAAACCGGTTAATATTGCCAGGATAGTTTGTGTATGCCAGAGCTTATCTAGCGTGCGTCCGTTGCTTGACTCCGCCCCACTTTTAATTTTAGTTGATATCTTTCTCATATCCCTGCACACCTTTCTGCGAAAGTGGTTATGTCTTGTAAACAGCGAGCAACCAATGACTGCTCATTGCAAAGGCTGAATGTCTCACTCAAAAGTACAAACTAAGTGTAAGAGAACTATATACAAATAATTCACCACTAGTTGTGATTGTGGAGTGCTTAGATAATAATGATCACTCACTCCAAAGGGTTAATGAAATATCCAGAGTTCTAGGGTGTAGTACAATTCATACAGCTGGAAAAAAATAATAAGTTAATATAATGTAATTATTTAATGAGACAATGTGAGGTGAATAATCTCAGTGGTTACACTGACATGGAAAGAGCCACTCTGGATAGGCTCAGATCACTTTTGCCTGTGTGTACTAAGGTGACACTGTACCTCTTCTCACTCAGATAATCCCCATATTTGGAAGCAATAGGAAGAGGTAGGGAGAGAGAGGAAGCAACCAAGCTTCTAGTGCAATAAATCCCAATTAATGCAATAAATACTGTAAAATGTATGGTAAATGGGTGGCTTCACACCTTTTCAGGAGCCTTGACCTGGCTCCTGGTATTTGCACAAATGTGCCTTTGAGGAGGCAACTACCCTTCTTTAGACAGCAGCAGATGCAGACTACTTGTGTTTAAAAAATTTATTTTTTGAATAAAATAATCAAATTAGAGGATAAATACACATACATAAAAGAAGTCTTGTAGATAGTCTTGTCCCGAGATGCGTTTCACTGTGTGGTAACAGCTTTCTCAATCGGTATGCTTCTTGCTGCTGTCCTTGGTTTGAATATCCCTGTATTTCCTCTGATTGGTGGTTTCCTCGAGATCCCTCCAATCACAATGTTTCTTTCCATGGGTGTGTGTTCATGAAAATAATTGAATACTCTTGCCCGATCATATGACTCTGCACGTAATACTGGCATCATTAAGGGGCGTGTTTCCCATAGTTCGTATACATCTTGTCCATATTCTGGAAGTGGCGTGGTCACCCGGGCATTATGCCACTTAGTTTAATTTGTGGCCATCTTTGTTGTGGTGTATTTCGTCTTATATCGGTATATCCGGATTCGTAAATGGGCAATATGTCTCATATATTGTAGAATGGGCATAAAATGGAAAAAATAGAGATAAAGGGTTGGAAAACAGAAAAAAATATCGAACCAAATCTATACACATACTGAAATGTGTGTGATATCTAATATAAGGAAATTAATCATACATGTTTTGACTAAATTTTAGTGCATGGTCAGAGAGAATAAGTTATGTGCAAAAATAGTGATAAAGTGCATGATAGGCTTTAGTGATGTGACTTTAGGTTGTTTAAGATGGAAACAGTACTCTGGCAGTTGCTTTAAAATACTAAAACTGTTAATAAAACATTTAGATGTAAAAAATGTACATATTAAAAAATAGTAAAAAGAATATATAAAAATAATTGCCAATTAAATAAGTGAATTATAAAAAAATCCATTGCATCTTTACTTGCCCAGTTTTTTAAAAGAAAATTAACATCCTTCCAAACTGTTGTTATTTTTTGGATGGCAAAATATTGGAGGTGTCTGGGGTCACTGTTATGGTCTTTTTTAAAATGTAGAGATACTCTACGTTTCTCAAATCCTCTTTTAATGTTCCTTAAGTGTTCCTGGATTCTTATGTGTAAGCTTCTAGTGGTGCGTCCCACATAAGATAATCAACAGCGGCATGTAAGTAAATAGATAACTTTGATTAAATGGCAAGTTATCATTTGCTTAATCTTAAATTGAACTTTTTTGTCTTGGGGATGTAAAAACTCTATCAGTCGTTTCTTATTGTTTGAGTTTTTGCATGCCCCACAACTGCCACATCAATAAAAACCTTTAGATTCATTAAAAACTTTTTATGCAATCTTTTTGGAGGTATATGATTATGCATCAAAGTTCTTCTTACATTTTTTACTCCTCTGTATGTTATTCTAGGTTTTTTTGGGAGGATTTTATTTAAAACTGGGTAATTTCTTAAAATTGGCCAATATTTAAAAACTATTTTCTTCAATTCATTACTCTTACAATTAAAATCACATATTAAGTTTTTTTTTTTTATTCTTTATTTTTGTTGTGCATATATATATCACAGGCAGGTAAGAGGTGTCCCAAAAGCAGTCCTCCAACTTTTCCCACGCTCAACATGCGGGGCACAAGATGAACAAGCACATTTTATAATAATCACAAGTAGAAACAGTCGCTTGTATAGGTAGCTATATGGTTAATTTAGGCTAGATCTATGCGTTGGCTATGCTTTTGATATCTAAACAGTGTTGGCTTACAATATATATCGTGAAAATCTAAAGCATTATGGTTAGGCATTAAGCATGCTTTGATTAGCAACCGGTTAAAGTTAGTTATATCGCTTTAGTGCCATTAGTGCGTTGGCTTTGCTTTAAATATCTGAACAATTCTGGTACACAACGTATATCGTGAGAGTAATCTAATGCATTATGAGTAGGCAATAAGCATGCATTGATCAGCAGTAGGTTAAAGTTAGTTACATCGCTTTAGTGCTAGTAATGCGTTGGCTATGCTTTAAATTACTAAACAATGCTGGCACATAGGATATATCATGAAAATAATCCAAAGCCTTGTGAGTAGGCAATAAGCATGCGTTTGTTAGCAACAGGCTAAAGTCGCTTTACTGCTAATGTCACCCCGGCCGACCAGGATCGCCCATGCTGCCTCCGCGGGGAGCCGTCTTCTTGGTGGTCCTGAGACCCCATATTCAGGGGGAGTCCCACTATCATTTGACACCTGCTCTGTCTGATCTGTGTAGCATGTATTGAGTGTCTAGTAGAGCAGGCTTCTGAACATAGTCCAGACATGCTGCGCCATCAGGTTCCCACTGGTTCCTCTGGTGCTGTAGCTGTGCTTCGTTATGATTGTCCCTCTTGGTTTTCGAGGGGCCGGAATTAGCCGTGGAGGGGAGCTTGGTGTCGTCTGCATGTGGTTGTCTATGCCTGGGTGGTGTTGCAGGCTGGGTGTGGGGTGAGTGGGTGGTCTGTCTTTGCGTAGATGACAGGTGTAACGGACCGTTTTGCACACAAGGGGTAAAAACTGATTAGGCGATCGTCCCCCTTTCCAGAGATGCAGGCACAGCTCTTGTAGCACACCAAACTCACGAACCGCCAATAAGGGAATGCTCCAAACTCCCGAACGGGAACCATACGAATCGCTGCTAGCAGACGAATAGGAAAAGCATCCAAGCGGCTTACACTCCTAGCAATCAGTCTCTATCAGCGTTCAGTAAATCCCCCCAAAGACGAGACAAGGCTCCGTGTTGAGTGTCAAGCAGTGGTCTGGTTTAATGAGGGCTACGTGCCCAGTATTTATGCAGGTCTCCCACCTGGTGGACACTCCCCTAGGGGACCAAATGGGAGACTGTGACAAAAGACAGACAAGTAGACATATAGGACACACAGTCACATTATATTCCCACAATGCATCCTGGCTTCCTCCCCTCTGCCTTGGAGATAATTGAGAAGTAATTCAATTATCTCCCAAGACAAAGGCAAATCGCCATTATGCACGTTGGGATACTACAACACGAATTACTATTAAAATACACTATGTGAGACACATTACGATAAAACTATACATTTAACATATCCCCAGATAGCTCAGGTCTGAGTGCACATTATTAAGCGAATGGCGCTCAGACCACACGAATACAGTGGGATTCCTATCTGGGGTATAACACATTCAAGTAAAACTACCGAACACCGGGCCGTTCGTGCACTTTCACCGAACAAGAAGGGAGGTCAGCGGCTTCAGCGGTGTTCGCGCAAAACTGTGTCTGATTTCAGTTCCATGAATTAAGCGTTGAACACCGCTGTGCGTTCGCATGTTTAAAATGGCCAAAACCTCGTGTTTGTGATACGAATGGCGGCCACCCAGCATTCGTCAATTACGCTGCGGTAGGGAGGCTAATTGCCGGCACACTCCAGCTACCAGGTGGTCCAGTCATTCGTGCGGTTGTTCGGTAGATTGAATCTACCGAACACCAGGCAGAAAAGAACGAATAAATCTTTTCTGCAGATAAAAAAGATGTCTTTTAGCATGGGGCCGTAGTCTAAAGGCAACAGGCGAGCAACCAGGCTTCTCCAATGCAATGTGGCGAGATTGCTCTCGTCACAACAGGCTCAGTCCGTTCAGGCGGTAATAGTCGGTGCATGGGTTACCTATATCTCCCCTGCGCCGCCGTTGTCGTAGCTGGTTCAATTGGCTGCGGGGGTGAGTAATAATGATCCGGCTTCTTGGCTTAGCCGGTTCTGGAGGCAGGAGCCGTGTTGTTAGCCGTGGGCTCCGGTGTTGGGTGCTGGTCCTCCCTTCGTCTCTTGCGCACATGGCGCCCGCCATCTTGGGTCTAGCGGGGTGACCCCCCAGCTTTAGCTGCGGCTTCCCGGTTAAGGCTCCAGGGTGAGGACCGGGATCACTCCCCGGTCCATAGGGCGGTGAACAGGGCCGGGTCCGTCCAGATTCGTGTCTCAGGTTGGGTGCTGTGTTGCAGGATAGTGGGGCAGCGGCCGTCTGCCCAACTCACCGCCGGAGAAGGCCTTACTAAGATTTCTCCTCCAGGAGACTGTAGCTCGGTGAGCCAGCCTCTCCCTGGATCCAGCAGTCCCCCTGTTGTAGGTACCAGTGCTGTCAGTCTGCTTTTCGTCTTAAAGACATGTTTTTTGGTAATTTTTAATATGGAGTTGCAGGAGCTCTGCTTGCCTGCGACCGTCCAGCTCAGCGGTCTGGCCCCGCCCCCCACATATTAAGTTTAATGGTTGAACCTCCCTATTTTTTATTGTGTTTTTATATTAAATCAATTCTTTCCTATCTTTCTGTATAACTTCTTCATAAGCATTATTCAGTAGTCTCTCTTTGTATCCTTTTTCTTTGAAGTCATTCATAATCCTCCATGCTTGTTCATGAAATTTGTTATTTTCTGTGCAATTACGCTTAATTCTAAGGAGTTGAGCTTTGGGGGTGTTCAGCAGCCACGGGGAAAAAAATGACAGCTATTTTCCCCTATGTAGCTGTTGACAACCACCTTTTTGAAAAATGTACAGGTCTTTTGATGTCCATCTTCAACATATATGTTAAGATCTAAAAACTCAACTGCTATTTTGCTAAAATTAGATGCCCAAATCATTGCTCTTAAGATAGGTTAAACAGGATTCTATAGAGGTTTGATCCCCTTTCCAAATAAAAAATATATTGTCTATGTCTTCAAACTAAAAGAAATTGGTCTAGATTATTATTCGTGTTCTGGGGTAGAACATTGGCTTAAGGATAGAGTACACAAAGTTGTCCTTAATGGTAAATTTTCAGGCTGGACAAAAGTGGTAAGTGGTGTCCCTCAGGGTACTGTTTTGGGACCGCTTCTTTTTAACATATTTATAAATGATCTTGAAATGGGTATTGAAAGCCATGTTTCGGTGTTTGCAGATGACACAAAACTTTGTAAAGTAATAAAATGTGAGCAGGATATTGCTTTGCTGCCGTCGGATTTGGATAGATTGTGGGATTGGGCACTAAAATGGAGGATGACATTTAACGTAAAGAAATGCAAAGCTATGCACTTCGGGGTCAAGACTGCACAATCAACGTACACCCTAAATGGTAGTGAATTAGGGATAACAACACACGAGAAGGATTTAGGAACTGTTATAGACAACAAATTTGGCAGCAATATGCAATGTCAATCTGCAGTTGCTAAGGCCAGTAAGGTTTTGTCATGTATAAAAAGGGGCATACATTCTCAGGATGAAAATATAATTTTGCCTCTTTATAAATCGCTGGCAAGACCACACCTTGAATATGCTGTGCAATTTTGGGCACCTGTTCTAAAGAAGGATATCATGGCACTAGAAAAAGTGCAGAGACGAGCTACAAAATTAATAAAAGGAATGGAGCATTTTAGTTATGAAGAAAGGTTAAAAAAGTTTAATCTCTTTAGTTTGGAGGGGATATGATAACATTATATAAATATATTCGGGGCCAGTACAAACCATTATCTGCAAATCTATTCATAAACAGGGCTATACATAGGACACAAGGTCACACATTTAGGCTGGAAGAAAGGAGATTTCATCTAAGGCAAAGAAAAGTTTTCTTTACAGTAAGAGTAATAAGGATATGGAATTCTATGCCTGAAGAGGTGGTTTTATCAGAGTCCATACAGATGTTTAAACTGAAATTGGATGAATACTTTCAAAAACATAACATACAGGGATATAATTTCTAAATAGTGGGGTAATAGCTGCTTGATCCAAGGAGACATCTAACTGCTATTTTGGGGTCAAGAAGGATTTTTTTCCTAGTTTGTTGCAAAATTGGAAGCGCTACAGACTAGGTTTTTTTGCCTTCTTTTGGATCAACAGCAAAAACATATGTGAGGAAGGCTGAACTTGATGGACGCGAGTCTCTTTTCAGCTATGTAAATACTTAATATGTAACGGCCATAGACAATAAGGTTCACATCCCACCTATGGTCCTCATATATAAATTGTTGTTCCCATAGTGACATGAATAGATTTGCATAGCTGGGTGCAAACCTTGCGTCCATCGCCTTTCCACATGTCTGGAGATAAAAATGTTCACTAAACCAAAACTAATAGTTATTTGAAATCCATCTTATACCTTTGATTATAAAATCTATCTGTATATCTAAAAATGCCTGAGATTGTTCCAAAATGTATTTAGTTGCCTGACATACTTTGTCATGTGAGATAATGGTGTACAGCGAACTGCCATCTGCCATCACAGTTGCTGTTCCACTCACAATCTCTTAACAGTTGAAGGACGTTCAGGGTATCCTTACAAAAGCCAGGGCACTTGTTTATTTTGGGTTGAAGGCACTTGTCTATGTATTGGGACAATTTACTAGATATTGACCCAATACCAGATATAATTGGCCTTCGTGGGGGTTTGTCCTTGTCCTTATGAATTTTTGAAAACCGTGATTTTTGGCTATGCTATATTTAAGAATTTATAATCTTTCTGATTTAAAATTCCCAAACGTTTACCTTCTTCTATAAGTACCTTTATTTCTTCAGTTGGATCTTTGCTTAAAACTCTCAATGGTGTCCTATTAAAATTCTGTCAGTGATGCATTCGCATTCTGATTCTGAATAAATTACCAAAAAGTAAAACGTCTGGTAATTTTTTTTTCCATTCTTCTGAATACAAATGCACATGTCTAATGCATACATATATGTACAGATATACACTCACAAGACAAACATGTACAACAATATTCAGACACACACTCTCAGACATATACAAAGATTTAAAATGCCAAACACAATCAGTCAGAAATACACACAGCCAGATTCACACTGTCAGTCCCACACTGTAACCGTATTTCTATATCTGTCACTATGTTTGTAACTGTGCATCAGTATGTGTATGTGTTTGTGTGCGTCACTTTGTGTATTATTTAGTAAATTATATTTAAAATTCTTTCTGTGCATCCAAAATGTTTAATTTAATTTCCATTAATTAATGTGCATCCTTAAACTAAAAATACACTATTTTCCAATATACACTAAATACCAGTATGGTTAACAATGGGGTACATGGACTATTTGAGCAGTCTTAGTAATACCTAACAGAAATACTTGCTTGCTTTAAAAACCTGCGAACAAAATCACATGATGAATATTACATAAGTGTCACAAGAGCACCATGATCACATCTTGGTCAGGCACCTAGGTATGACTTAGTGTCATGAGATAAATTTGCTTTTGCAGAATTGCACCTTAGATGCAAAAGTCCAGGTCCAGGTCATGAACAATGGTCTTATTAACTCATGAAGAACCTTGGCAAGACACAGCCATCACAAGATGAACCAAATACATATTATATAAAATGGTAGCAAGTAACACACAATGGTTTCTAATATTATAATATTCTATGTCATTTGCTATATCATTGTGCACCTAGGAACCAGTGACTCTTGGCTAGACTTTTTTTTAGTATAGATAGTTTAGATATTTTCAAAGTCAATGTATTTTTCAAAGAAACTTATTAGTCATTGTACTTTCTCATAGTTTCCATTTGCCAAGCTAAAAAAAAGCATGTTTGCTAAAAAAAAAATGTAATTGTAAATAATAATAATAATAATAAAAATATATACATATGCATTTTAATATTGCTTATATATGTACAAACAATAAAAAGAAAAAAAGTTAAACCCAGAGATTAGTATGCTTTATAATTCACGTTCCAGTACTGTAATTGGCCAGCAGCTCAACTGCAAATCTGGATATTTAACTTGCAGGTATTAAAATTCCTAAAAGAGCATTTCAAGTTGTAGATAGTATAACAAAGGCAGGCGTGGAGATGAATTCCTCCAGTATTATTCAGAAAATATTGAAGGGAAAATGAAAATGTTTTTGAGTGACAAGTTATAAGAGGAGGAGGTGCCAACTGTAAAGGCTGAAAATAATGAGGTCATTATCAAGGATTTCTGCAGGTTGTACGAAGTTCATACATAGAAGAAGAATATGTTCTTAGCAAGTAACTGTTACAAAAGAAAAATTTATTTTTATATTCTTGTAACTTTGTAGCACAGTATGATTAACAATAAGATTACTGAACAAGGGTGAAACATTTAAAGAAAAAGAATTAAGCGTAATTGCTACATTGTTATATTAAGTGGCAGCAATGGACATGCAAATAAGAGATCTGGCATTGTTTGTAGGGTTTTAGCGACATCAAGTGTTGGTCCATCTTAAAACACAGCATTGTGTCTGAATCTAGATGACATCTGTCAGACCAAGACAAAATGTTTGAATTGGATCAGATGGATCTCTTATGAAGACGTCTTGTATCTCTGGTTATCATCACCCCATGTGGGATAGTTGCTGCAAGTCATCTACCCCACCAGTTATGCCTTTAAAAGAACACTCCAAGGATCATAATGACTATAGTTTGCTGCACTAGTTATGGTGCCAAGAGTGTCTAAGTGCCGCCCCCTACCCCTTGTAAGTAGTCAAACCATTTTAGATACGTTTGATTTGTTGGGCACTGTTCCCTGTCTCCACTACTTCCAATAGGGACCTGGAAGCTCCCAAGCAGTAACTTCTGTTAGCTCTCCTGAGCTAAGCTGTGCAATGCAGGGCTAGCTCAATGGCTTAGAGCTTGACTGAGCTTCTCCATAGGAGGTGGTGAAGTAGAGGGTTTGACTCACACATTGTGGGGGATTGGAGGGCTCCCAGGGCACTCTTGCCACCATAACCAATACAGCACAGTGTAGAGATTATGGTGCTTGAATGTTTCTTTATTTTGGCAGATTATTACTCTGGCAATGTTTCCTGTGTTTAAGCAGTAGTGGAAATTTGATTGCATTTGCCATTATTTCT